TGGTGCTGGAGGAGGCTGGGGCTTTGGGGAACAAAGGGCAGGAGGAAGGAGAGGCAGCAGCTTGGGGACCCCCCAGCCCCTTCCTGGAGGGCTCCCTGGGCCCGGCAGATGTGCTAAGCAGAGACCCTCAAGGGAAAGGGCCACATTCTCATTCAATCACACCCGGAACCAAAGGAACCCTTTTTCTTGTGGTACTGAGGACTGAACCCAGGGCCCTCACAAGGAATTACACCTCTAGCCTGTTTTATTTTTTAAAAAGTCTCACTAAATTACTAAATTGCCCAAGCTGGGCTGGAACAGTCGATCATCCTGCCTCAGCCTCCCAGAGTTCTGGGATTACATGTGTGTGCCAACCATTCCCATTTCACGGATGTGGAAACCGAGGCCTCCAAGACCTTGCCCAAGGAGGCAGAACCAGAACCAGGGCGTAGGGGCGTCACATCCCAAGATCCGTATGGGTTTTGCTGCCCCAGGCAGAGCTGCCTCTTCCTCCTGCGCTTGTCCCACACCACCTGCAGCTGTGTTTAGTGACTGGGGCAGCTCACACAAGGCTCCCCCGCTGCCCTGGCCGTGGCTCTGGGACCACACACTGGGGTGCTGCCAGGCCCCACTGTCTCCCAGAAGGGCAATTCCTTCATCTGTACAAGGGGACAGGAAGAGGGCACCTTCGTAGGAGGTTGGGGCAGGAGGGCCACAAGTTCCAACCCAACCTGGACAACTCACTGACTTAGTGAGACTCTGTCTCAAAATAAAAGATAAAAAAGGGCTGGTGATGTAGCTCAGTGCAAAGGCCCTGGGTTCAATCCCCCAGTACTACTCAAAGAAAAAAAAAATAGCTATGCCAACGGCTTAGACAAAGTGCCTGTCGTATTTGTACTCAGTGAATATTCATTTTATCAATCCCTGTCCAAGGCACATGAAGCTGTGCTGGGTTTCAGTCCACTGGCACTGGGAACCTGGGGCCCACACTGTGCCGGGACCCAGAAGCCACAGGTGTGGGGGTACCGGAAGAAAGGGCTGCGGGGTAACAGCAGCTCAGGGGCACCGACTTGGTCCCCACTCACCTGTGAAAATCCGCTCATCGAACATCCTGGGGAGAGAAGAGAGGGCAGAGGGCGCACGTCAGGGCTCTCAGGTCCCTCCCATGTCGTCCTGGGTCCCACATGCACGGCTACAGCAGGACCCAGGCTTCAGGACAGCCCGGATGCCGTCCCCCAGCAGGGCCACCCGGGCCGCCCAGAGCACCCAGCGCCATCTTCTCACCCTTCCACCAGCAACCGCAGGACGCGCGCTGCGCCTGCCCACCCAGCACGGCCTGTCACAGGCACGGGACGGCACACGCTGGAGCCAACAACTACACAAAGGCCGCAGGGGGCATGGGCTGAGTGCGGGTGGAGAGCTGCTCACTCAACACCCAGACACACGGGAAACACACACACCACACATGACACATGCACACACATGCGCACACAACACGCTCGGCAATCACACCCCTGCCGCACATGGCAATCAGGCACCACACATGGCCATGCAACACACACACGGCTTTCACCTGACCTTCACATACGCCAGACACACATGCACCACACACGGGGTCACGACTTCTGTCCTCTGACAGCCAGGGCCCCCCACGCCCTGCAGGGTGCAGAGGCAGATCTGGGCCTCAGCTCCCCGCCGTGGCCCACCCACACCTGGCCACACGTGTGTGTGTGTGTGTGTGTGTGTGGTGCTGGGGACTGGACCTGGGCTTGCACTCCCTAGGCCAGCTCTCTGCTACACAGCCACACACCCAGCACCATTTCCGGTTTATTTATTAACCAGGAGCACAGGGTGGGGAGGCAGAGCAGGGACAGCGGGGTCACACGTGGCCCCAGGGGTGGCACAGGGGGCGGGGAGGAGCTGCTCAGGCTGAAGCCAGGTGGATGGGGCTGCCAGGCTTCCAAACGCCATCCTGAAGGCCAGAAGCCTTTCCCGCTCCTCTCTCCCCTTTGAGGGGCACTGGTGACGGAACCCCGGGCCGAGGGCAGCCAGGCGAGCTCCAGCCTTTCTCCTGTAAGCCCCGCCTCAGGGACAAGCAGGCAGCCTGAGCTGTGTCCCCGTGGGAACACTGACCAGAGCATGGCACAGGTTGGGGTCCGGGAGACGGGTACCCCAGGAACAAGCCCATGGCCTGGAAGACAGCACCCAGACAGCATGCAGCTGGGGCTCCCGGGCCGGGCATGGACTCTGTCCTGGTTTCCATGTCCACTGCTTAACTCACAGAGAGGGGCGGGGTGACAGAGAAGAGGGTCGGGACAGAATGGGGTAGGTAGTGCATCACCACATCCAGTCCCCTCACTCCAGCCCCGCTGTGGAGCGGGGACAGCACAGAGCCGGCAGGGACAGTGCGTGGCAGGGGAGGGCACGTTCTTTGCAAATGAGGACACGGGACAGCGTGGGACAGCCCTGTGTCTCCGCTTCCACAGAACTCTCACGGGAGTCCAGAAGGAGGGTCGCTTGGCTAAGTCAGGGAGTCGAGTTCCCTCCAGGATGAGACCCATGTCAGATCAGAGCCCCCCTCAGCCCACTCCAGGCCCCAAGCAGCCCAGATGCCCCAACACCTCAGCTCACGCTGAGCTTGCAGCGCAAGGCAGGCCCCACACCCATCCCATACCTCTTAATGACAAAGTGGATGCTGTGTCTCTCCTCCAAGATCCGCTTCAGCTTGGGGACCCCATAAGTACAGGGGCGTTTGAAGGGGATCTTGTCTGGGATGCCCACGATCTCCACAGCCTCCGGGTCACAGGCGATCTTCCTGTAGGGGACAGGGACCATGTGGTCCAGGCCCAGGGCTTCCGCTGGAAGAGGAAAGGAACAGCTGAGCAGGACAGGGAGGCGGCAAGGTGCCAGAGCCCAGGGCACTGTCACCTCCCTCCCACCTCTCAATACCACTCTGGCCAGGCAGTGGTGGGAACATCAATCATGTTGCTTTTAAAAATGTATTTGTAGGGAGCTGGGAGTGGTGGCACACGCCTGTAATCCCAGTGTTGGGAGGCTGAGGCAGGAGGATCGCTGTGAGTTCGAGACTAGTCTGGTCTAAATAGTGAGTTCCAGGTCAGTCTCAACTACATAGTGAGACCTTGTCTCAAAATACAAACAAACAAAAAAATGTATTTGTACTGCTGGAGATTTTGATACAGTCTTCCCAAATCACTAAATTATCCAGGCTGGCCTTGAACTTACAATCTTCCTGCCTCAATCTCCCAGAGTACTTGGATTACAGTTGTGCATCATTATGTCTGGCTTGCTTCTTTTTAAAGATGCCTGCAGGTCCCACCTCAGTGCCAAAGTCTCAACGCGTCACTCCGTCATCTTTGGCCTTCGCTGGCTCCACCTGGTTCTCTGGCCCCTGCCGCTTCCCTAGCTTGCCAGGCACACATCCCAGGGCCTTTGCACTGGCTCTCCCAGCTGCCCGCCCTCTTCTCCAGATATCTGCATGCCTCTGTCCTCTGGCACCTTAAGGTGGCACCGCATCAGCCCAGGGCCTCTCCTTCCCTCCCTAGTTCCACTGTCACCCCGTCACTATGTCCTAATTCGCCCTCTCATCATGACGCCCCTGTCTCAGAGCCACCAACCCAGGACACAACCATGAGCCCAATAAACTCCTGCTCCATTAAGCTGTATCAGATGTCTGGTCACAGTGACAAATGATGAGCAACACTGTCCCGTCTGCCCAGCACTTGGGAGGCCTCAGGAGACAGCTGGGCTGCCTGGCGGCCACATTCCTGCCCTCTTTGGGGCCCACATCCCCTCGACATCCCTCAGGGGCCACAAGAGCCGCCAGGCTCCCCGGGGCCAGTGACGTGTTTTCCTGTTGACGCAGCCGGGTGCGTTGGTGGCTTTGGCAGCCAGGACTCACTGTGAAGTCACACTTTGCTCGCTGTCAAATTAAACCCTCGAAATCCCAACAGCTGCCAAACCATTTCTCCCCGCAGCCACCTCCGGCGTCACCAGCCCGCCAGCCCCAGGACCCGAGCTATCTGCGTGAAAGGCCCCTGCCCAGCTCCTGTGTCTGTGCCGAGAGCCTTATTCCTTGCAGGCAGCAGACAGGGGGTGAGTTGGGGCCATGACCCCGACAGGCCTCTTGCTGCCCATGGGCAAGCATCAGGCTAAGCACAGGTCGGGCCCCATCCGGTCCCAACACCTTCCTAGGTGACAACTTCTGGGGGGCTTCCTAAACCTTGGGATTTCCCCCAATTCTTTTCCCCCCTTCTCCCCCATGCTGGAACCAGGCAACTTCTCTTTCCTTGTTTTTTGAGACAGGCTCTCACCACTAGCTCAGGCTGGCCCTGAACTCACTGCGTAGCCCAGGCTGGCCTCAAATTCTTGGAAATCCTCCTGCCTCAGCCTCCCCAGGGCTGGGACTGCAGGTGAGTGCCACCACACCCAGCAACCAGCCAATTTCTTAACCAGACTTGGTGGCTGGAAGGAGGAGGAGGGGCTGCCAACCCAGATGATATCCCCATCCCCAGGTCCCCCAGTGCTCTTGGAAGCTTCCTCCTCCTGGGGTGGCTCAGAGGGGCCTTGCCACGCCAAGCTCAGGTGCCCTCCTGGCTCTGGTCCGTGCGATGAGTCTGCAAAGTCCATTCCGCAAGTCCAGAGCTGCATAGGGCGTGAAGCCAGGGGGGCGGCTGGGCCTCACCGGCTCTCCTGAGCCAGGCCAACGGGCGGACTCCTCCCTGTACACACACGGCTCCTGCCCAGCACCCTCCCCACCGCCTGCCTGGCTCTCACCTGCCCGGGCTGCAGGGAGGCGCTTGCTAAACTGCCCTGGGCCTGCCCCGGCCCCAGGCAGAGCGGGGGACCCCACAGGGGACTCCCCATGCACCCTGCGCCCGCCTCACAGCCATGTTTGCCCAGCCCCAGCTGCTTATGTGCAGCTTCAGCAAGGCCCCTGAAGACCAGAGTGGCAGAGCCACAGAGCTTCTGGCACAGTCCCGGTCCTCCGAGAGCGGCAGGAGCGTCCAGTGCATGTAGGGAGAGGGAGGGACCCACCTGGCTCGGGCTGGGGACCTGAGGGGCCCCTGGGGATGATGCTCACACTTACTCCTGACCAGTACTTAGCACTCTGTATCCCCCACAGCATAAAGACTGCCAGGCCGTGGGCACGGCACAGGCAAAGGCAACGAGGCAGCGATGGCAGTGCCACGGGGGACTTGCGGGCGCGGAGGCCCTCGGACTCCTCCGGGTCCCCCGCCCGCCCTGTTCCCGCAGGTGACTCAGGCGCTGGGGCTCTGCCACAGTCCCGCCCCCCTGAGGAATCTGGAAGGCAAATATTGACACAGCCACCCCCACCCAGACACGGGCGGGTGACGGGAGCTTGCGAGCGCGGGTGCGGCAGATGGCAGCACCACCCTGCCGGGGACAGAAGCGGCTGCGGCCGGCGCCCACTCACCGTATCTGCTGTTGAACAGGATCTGCACGCACTCCCGCAGCGTGTTGATGTCCTCCGTGTCCTTGATGAAAGCGTCCCACTTCTCTATCGGAACACAGGGGCCACCATTGAGGTCCTCGTGGGGGACGGAGCCTGGGCCAAGGCCAGCCGAACTCTGCCACTGCCCAAGTCCGGCCCCCACCCAGCCTGTCTGTCCCCACCTCGCCCCACCTTCAGCCCTGCCGGCTTCTCCCGTGACCAGAGTGCTGGGCTGGGGTGCGGCTCAGTGGTTAGCACTTGATCAGCCCATGCAGGGCCCTGGGTTGCGTCCACCCTAGTGCTACACCAAAATAAGAAACAAAGCACTTCAAACTTTTCCCGGGCACTGGCCACTGAACCCACAGGCCTCCCACCTGGCTTTTTCTCCCAAGGAGGGACCTGAGACCAGGGGCCTGGGTTTTCAGTTTCTCAGCCAGGGATGGTGGTGCACGTCTGCAATCCCAGCACTTAGGAGGCTGCGACCGGAAGATCGCTGAGAGTTCAAGGCCAGCCTGAGCTACACAGTGAGTTCAAGGCCAGACTGGACTACACAGCGAAATCCTGTGTCAAAAAACCAAAAATTGGAGGGGTGGGGATTTAGCTCAGTGGTTCTGCTGCCTGCCTCACAAGCACAAGGACCCAAGTTCAATCTCTGGTATCGGGGAAAAAAAAAAATTGGGCCGGGGATTTAGCTCAGTGGTGCTGCACCTGCCTGGCAAGTGCAATGTCCTGAGTTTGATCACTGGTACCAAAAAAAAAACAAAAAAAAAAAACCCAAAAATTTAAAAATAAAAGAGCCTCTCACTGGAGGGGAGGCTAAAACCCACAAAGCAAAACTGCTAGGAAGGGTGAGTTCATTCCTTTCTGGTTTAACCAAATCCCAAATTGTCCTCTTATCCTGTGGGGTACTTTTAAAATCTGTCTACAAACTTCCTTCTTATTTTGCAGTGCTGGGGATTAACCCTGCACCCTGCACATGCTAGGCAATTATTCTATCACTAAACTGCAGCCACAGCTCCACAGTTTTTGCTGTTTTGTTTTAATGTTCTTTTAAATACATAAATCCCAGCACTCTGGGAGGCTGAGGCAGGAGGATCATGAGTTGGAGTCCAGCTAGTGAGTGGGTGGAGCTCAGCACAGAGCACCTGGGTTCAATCCCCAAGCAGCCTTCTGATGAGCCAGCAGCCCCAGGTGACACTGAACAAGGCCTTGTGAGAGACTGAGCCAAAGCCCTGCAGCTGAGCTGCTCCTGAATTTGGGCTCAGAGAAACCATGAAGCCATGAACATTTGTTCTAAACTACATTGAGAGCAATTTGTTACGCAGCAGTGACAGCAGCAGAATATAGCTGTTACACCTTAGTGTGACTCACAGTCCCCTGGTAGAGCTGTTCCTCTTTCTCCCACAAAGATCCACTACACTCCTTTGCATCTCAGCCCCACACTGCACACGGATGCCCCTGGGGCCGGGCTGCTATGTGGGCACCGCCTACCTGACTTGTCGTGGACGATGGAGAACAGAATACGCTTGGAGGCGTGGACGTTCTGGATGAGAGGCCCAGTGGGCCCTGTGGGCTTCTGTCCTGGTCAAGGCAGAGAAGAGCACAGGTTCCAGGTGGGCCCAGGAGGGTGACCCCAAGCCCAGCCACGGTACCCAGGCCCTGGGGTAGCTGCCAGGGAGTCCGCAAAACAGCCCCAGCACCATGAACGCAGCCCAGTGCCAGGGAGGGCCTGAGGCATTGGGGACCAGACCCTGCATCAAGTGCCAGCTCAGGGAGAGCAGGGCACAGGGGTGACCTTTTCCGGGTGGGGACTCCTATTTGAGGCAGGTAGGTCCCATCCCCTGGGCCGGCCCACACTCCCGAGGGGACCTGTGTCTTTTCATCACCTTCTCCCAATACTCCACAAATATAACTGCCAAGTTACATCCCTGTAATCCCAGCACTCTGGGAGGCTGAAGCAGGAGGATTACAAGTTTGACCCGTTTGGACACGTGAGTGACTTACTTAATGAGACCCTGCCTCCAGGAGCAAGCTGGAGATGCAGCTCTGCAAAGACCTTGGGTTCAACCCCAGTGTGGAAAATAACAACAACAAAAACCCCCGTACACACAGCTTACAAGCACCCACGCTCTATACACCAAGCACGGCAGAGAGGGCATTAAACAGCAGTTTGCAAACTGAAGCACATGGAACCCTTTGCAGGCTCTAACACGCCGCCCCGCCCCACAAAGTGGAGTGCAGCCACCCTGGGGTGGGCCTGACAGCCTGTATTTTTCTTTTCTTTTCTTTTTTTTTTTCGTATTTTTCTATTTTTCTGTGGAGCATTTTATTTCAGTCCTGAAGATGGAACTCAGGGCCTTTCACACCCTAGGAGAGCGCTCACCCCTGAGGCGGAGAAGTGCATCTCCAGCACCCTTTGAGGATACATGATGCTGCTACTGATGCTCTTTAACCACAGACCTGGGCTGCCCGTGGGAAAAGGATTACAGGTTGAGCATCCCCGACCCAAAACGCAAAAATCCAAAACGCTCTCAAGTCCGACACGGTTGAGACTCTTGCACTATGTCACAAGTGGAAGATTCTACACCTGACCTCATGCGATGGTCAAAGCCAATAAATAAGTGAACTTGAAATACCATATAAAATGACCTCAGCATCTGGGAGGCTGAGGTAGGAGGGTTCCAAGCTGAGGCCCAGCCTGGGTGATTTAGTGAGAGCCTGTCTCAAAATTAAAAAATAAAGAAGGGCTGGGGGGATGTAGCTCAATGAGAAGGCCCTGGGTTCAAGCCTGAAGCCACACTAAAAAAACAAACAAACAAAAAACAAAAAAAACAAACTTTAAGCTACATGTATACCATGTGAAATAGAAATGAATTTCACACTTAGACTCAGATCCCATCGCCAAGGTCCCTCATTATGCATATGCAAATATTCTAAAATCTGAAACTTCTGCTTTGGAACTTTTGGTTCCAAGCATTTCAGATACGGATGTTCAACCTCCATACGCATCTCTACAGATGAGGAAACTGAGGCTCAAAGGGGTAGAGATTTGTCCAGCACCCACAGCCACTGAGTAGAGGGGCCTGAATCTGAACCCAAGTATTCCTTTCCCCAGCTGTCCCTTCTTTTCTGCCCCCAGCACCTTGGATCTGAGCTGGGTATGTAGTAGGTGCTCATTAAATGCGAGCAGGCTGACAGCATGTGGGCCACTTTCTTAGTCCCTAGCTGGGGACCATTTATAGATGGCAGAGACCCTGGGTCCAACAGGGTGCCAGCCAGGATGCACCTGCCCAGCCCATCGCTGTCCAGACAGCCTCTGCCTTGCCTCCCCCAGGCTGGCCCGCCCTGAGGTGCCCATGAGTCCCCGGTCTGGGCAGCAGCATTACCACAGCAGTTGGAGAAGTCCTGGGCACCAGGGGCCTTGGGCTCGGGCACTGGCAGGCCCAGGCCCAGCTCGCCGGGGGCAAGGGGACAGGCTGGCGCCTCCTGCTTGAGCTCGCGGA